GCTGCTCGTCGTGCTGCCCCTTCCCCAAACCCTAAACCCTAAACCCTAAACCCCAAACCCTCGTGTTTGCTGCGGACTTGGGAGTGAGAGATCTGCTGCTGAGGGTCTGCAGCGCAGCAAGCATTGCCTCTTCCTTCCTTCTTGCTGCTGCTGCTGTTTCCTCTTGTTTAAATCTTGCTGCTGTCATGTCCCCCATCTTCAGCAGGCCCGCGCTCCTGCTGCTGCTGCTGCTGCTGCTGCTGCTGCTGCTGGAGCTGCTGTCGAGAGGGCTGGTAGGCGTGGCACTGTCGCCGTCATTGCTGTTGGTCGAGCTGCTGCTGCTGCTGCTGCTGCTGCTGCTGCGGCTGCTGCGGGAGGCGCTCTGCAGGGTGCGCGTCTTGTGTCTGCTGCTGCTGCTGCTGCTGTGGCCGTGACTGTCCTCGTCCCGGTGGCGGCGGCGCTGCTGCTGCTGCTGCTGCTGCTGCTGCTGCTGCTGCGGAGAAGACTCCTCCTGCTCCTCGTCTTCTAAAGAGAAGCTTAAAAGGCCCCTGCGGGCAACCCTAGTGGCCATTGCTGCAGCAGCGTGGGGCTTACAGCCACAATACTTGCTGCTGCTGCTGCTGTTGCTGCTGCTGCTGCTGCTGCTGAGAATGTCGCCGTGTCTCGTGCTGCTGGAGAACGCCCGCAGCTGCTGCTGCTGCCGCTGTAGCCCCTGGTGCTTCTGCTGCTGCTGCTTCTGCTGCTGCTTCGCCCCTGCAGCAGCAGTTGCCGCCGCAGCAAATACCGAAGCAGGAGGCGCTGCTGCTGCTGAGCGGCTGAGCAGCAGCAGCGCCTGGCCCAGCAGCATCCACTCCTGCCTCCCAGGCTAGGGTTTAGGGTTTAGGGTTTAGGGTTTGGAGAAAAAAGCTCAGGAATGAGGGCTTCTCGCGGCGGCTGGTTGACACTGTCAGCCACACGGCTAAAAAGCGAGAGCCCGCTGCTGCAGAACAGCAACTGCTGCTGCTGCTGCTGCTGCTGCTGCTGCTGCTGCTGCCGGCTTGGCTAGGTTAACGAAATACAGTGGCGATATTAAATGTTGCTGCATTACTTGCTGCTGCGTCTGTAGATCTGCTGCTGTTCCTGCTGCCAAATCCGCCGCTGTTCAAGAACCCGTCAGCATGTGCTGCTGCTGCTGCTGCAGCAGCAGCAGCAGGACCCGCTGCTGCTTGCACTGAAAACCGCTAAATTTCGAATAGTTATTGAGTTTTATTTAAATTGCATTTTCAAAAGACAAAGGACGAAGTGTTTTTGCTGCTGCTGCAGTGCAGCGGCAGTTCTAAACCGCCTCATACACACATCACCGGCTCGCATGCAGCAGCAGCAGCAGCAGCAGCAGCAGCGGGAGAGACCGTTGCTGCAGCCGCAGCAACAGCAGCAGCAACGGCAACACTTTGCCCCAGCGCGGCCGCCCACACTTCCATCTCGTCTAATATGGCAGCAGCAGCAGCTGCTGCTGCTGCTGCGGTCTTAGCTGCAGCAGCAGCCCTTCTGTAGAGAATGCTCTCTTAGCAGCTGCAGCAGCAGAAGCAGCTGCAGCAGCAGCAATACGAGCAGCACCCAAAGACGGAGCGCAGACGCTGCAGCAGCAAGGTTGCCGCACGTGGCAGCAGCCACAACACCGCAGCAGCAGCAGCAGCAGCAGCAGCAGCAGCAAAAAGAACTGCAGCAGCAAGATCAGCAGCAGCAGCAGGTGTTTCACAACAATGGCGCTGCGGAGGATAACACCGGCGTTAAAGGTGACCCCACGCTCGCCGCTGCTGCTGTTCTTGCTGCTGCTGTTCTTGCTGCTGCTGCTGCTGCTGCTGCTGCTGCTGCTGCATGCCCTCTTTAGCTGCTGCTGGAGTCACCGCTTGCCACAGGTGTACCAACAGCCTGTCTTATTTGCTGCTGTTCTTCTTTGCTGCTGCCTGTTCGTGCTGCTGCTGCTGCTGCTGCTGCTGCTGCTGGCTTTGCGGGGCCTGTTGCTGCTGCTGCGGGCTTTGTGAGGCTGCTGCTTCTGCGCCTGCTGCTGCTGCATGCCTTCCTGCTGCTGCTGCATGCCTTTCTGCTGCTGCTGCTGCCCTCACTGTGCTGCAGCGTCTGAGGGCCACAGCCGGCCCCACAAGGCCTGTGCTCTCCACTAGGCAGCAGCAGCAGCTGCTGCTGCAGCAGCAGCAGCAGCTGCAGCAGCTGCAGCAAATTCGGCATCAACATGAGTGGCATCGCCGGCAAAGCGAAAAACAGCAGCAGCAACAGCAGCAGCAGCAGCAAAATGTTCTGCTGCGGCAGAGGCAGCTGCAGAAACTGAAACAGCAGCAGCTGCAGCAGCCTTACAATGCCCGCAGCAGCAGCAGCAGCAGCAGCAGCAGCATGTTTGCTGACTCTCTGATGCGGGCTCTAAGCCGTTTACAGGAACCTTCGAGCAGCAGCAGCAGCAGCAGCCGACCCTTAGGAGGCCGTGCTGCAGCAGCAGAAGCAGCAGCAGCAGCAGCAGCAGCAACGG